ATATATATATATATATATATATATATATATATAGACAGACTACAGTTCAAAAAGTTCAGAGCCACCAGAACTTGACAGAAGAATGAAAACAAAATGAAAAAAGCTCTTGGAGTCATTTAAAAAAGAATGGAATCATTTATCAAACTTATACTTTGAGAAACTTTTGTAACAGGTGCCAAAAATTTGTGCTGCAGTAATCAAAGCTAAAGCAGGATATTTTGGTGAGAGCAAAATTTAAACATAAAATTCTTTTTTCTTTTCATCATAAAATTTATAATAAAAAGTTTCACTTTTTTTAACCATATATAACAGTTTTATCCAAATTAAAGTATAAAACAACTACTTTTTACTTGAGGGTGGCCTCAAACCTTTGAACTGTAGTGTTATAAAGTGCTAAAAAACCCAATAAAGTTTACGTGACCAACAGACAACTTGCCAGACAACGTATTTTAGATAAGAAAAAACCCAAACAAGGAAAGAAAAAAAACAAAGACCAAAAGGCAAACACCTGCCTACACAGTAAATTAAAGTGTTCAATGCCTAGAATATCTAAACAGAGCAATACATATACATATATATATATATATATATATATATATATATATATCGGAACCTCCATGATACCTAAGGTTTAAATTTATATAGATGAAAAAGCTTTCTTGTAGCTTTCATTTAGCTTTAATTGAAAGCTAAAGGATTAAACTTACTATTTCCAGTAAGCAAAATACTCTGGTGTATTTCAAACAAAAATTATTGATTAGAATTGGTGTTTTTCATATTTTTCTAAAATAGCTGATAAGTGCCCTATTTTAGTCACCTTTCATCACAATGTAATTCTCTGAATTAAAAAAAATCTTACAAAAATTTTTAAAACAAACAGTAGCAGTAGTTTACATGTTTTTCACAGCTTGTCAATCACTTGTTATAAAATAAAATAAGACATATCTCGGCTGATTTACAGGCAAATAAACTAACATACTCAAGAGTGAGAACCGGATGTGAACGGGACAAAGCCCCGTCACAAAATGACCATTATCTTCATTTACAAATGTTCCTGACGCACGAGTTCCGGTCGAAAAATAAAATAATATTTAAAGTGTTCTATTTTTCGTCCAGTAAAAATGCTTCCCTCCTAATTATACTCGCTTCATTTTTCGAGCCTGTTAAGCCATAAAAAAACGCCATAAAAGGGGTCACAGGGAAGTACAACGGCAGTCAACAGGAGGCCAGGGAAGAGACCTGTCATGGTCAGGCCGAGTGGTCAGCAGGGGAGCACCAGCATGAACCTGTGTGAACTACTATGAGAGATCGACCCAGATCCGAAGCCGGCTTATGAACTATACCACAAGGTAGCTGTCTCAAACCCTCACGTTCCTGTTGAAATAAATCTCGTAAATCTATTTCTGCTGTTGTCATATTTCTTTCTTGCAACCATATGCTTGTCTATAACACACTCAACAAGCACTGATCAGGTGTTGACAGGTTTATTGTTGTTCTATGGAGACTAAATCTGTTAAAACATAATTGAAGAAAATGATCGGTGAATGCTTTTTTTATATAATTTTTCAAGTACTTAAAAATGTTAGAAATATTCTGTCATCTAATTTTGAGAATGTTGACTTTAAATTTACTATAGTCATCGATCTTATTTTCTGATAATGTTGTGTATGGTCACCCATACTTTCAAAATAGGCACGTTTATAGACATAAAAAAATATTAAAAATTATTTTTAAAATCTTAGTGCATGAATTAGTCTGAAGAAAAAAATTTATTTTGATGAATAATGAATTTTTACAAGAATTGTTTTCATTTTCTTTTAAGTATAATAATTCATAAAGTTTCAAAAAATCTTTTTAAAATTCTTTAAAACTTTGACCTCTTAAGGTTATTAAGTTATTAAGCAAAGACTACATTTACTAAGTGAAAATTGAAAATACAAATCATCATGCACTAAGATTTTAAAATAATTTAATTAATATTTTTTAAAATTCAAATATATATATTATAAACAGGATGAATGCAGAATTAAGAACATTATAAAAAATGCATAACACCAGTTAACAATAGCAAAAAAATTAGATTAATTATTTATTATAAAAAAAAAAAAACCTCTAACCTTATAAAGGAGAATAATAATTCACCTTTAGAACAAAATTAAATAGGGCAAATATTATTTACAAATTTAAATACCCATTAAGGAATTGTATTCCTCAACAATCAAAAAAATAAATAATTATATAGGCCACAAAACAACATATTTAACATGCAGACTAATTTTCTACACCTTTAAATTGAGAATAGCTCAATTAGATCTCATTTAAATATTCAAGATGACCTAAAAGAATAAAATTATAACATACTTGTTGACAAAACTAATATAATAGCATCATCTACATCAGTGGTAATCAATCATTCTACATGGACCCTAGGGGTCCATGTAATATTTCCGGGGTCCACAGGCAAAACACAATTGTTGTGTTAATTAAAAATAGTAATAATAATTATTATTATAATTATAGTAGAATATTTTATTTGTATTAAATTAAAGTTTTTCATTTAAAAATAAAGCTTAATTACTATATTATTTCTTTGATAATTAAAACCTTAAAATTTATATTAGTGAAGAATAGAAAAAAATTGTTCTTATGTCCAATAGCTATGAAGGGGTCCACCAAGATAAAAAAAAGAAGGGAAAGGGGTCCATGTTAAAAAAAAAAGTTTGAGAACCACTTGATCTACATGCAAAAAAAGGATAAAATTAATGGAAAAATTTTATTAATAAAAAAACAAACAAACCAACACTTATTAATACAGTTTTTTGAACATGGATATAATATCATAATATATTCGGACAGTTTTTATATAATTTATCATCCAAAAAAGAAAAAAAAAAATTAGATACATGAGAAATTTATAAAAGACTAAATAAAAGCACCTTTTGTCTGTCGTTTTAATGAAATATGCATAAAAGAAGGATTTTGCCTAAATAAAAATTTAAATTTTAATATATATATATATATATATATATATATATATAAAACAATGATTATTAGGGATAATTAAAGGAGGATATAAATCCAAAAGAGAGCTCAATGTTTTTAAGAATAGAGCAATATAATAATGAATAGATCCCCCCTGTCGACTGGTTTTTTAAACCTTTTTTTCCTTCTCTTTCCCTTTCCATTTGTCTAACAAATTTAATTAAAAAGTTCCTAAAAAAAATTTGATTATATTGAAATATAAATTTTTTAAAATTTTTTCTTTCCCTTTAATATTAAAACTTTTTCCTTTTTTTCTTTTCCTTGTGACTATCTGAATATATTGAACTCCATTTTTTTTTTGTAAAATTTGGTTGAAGTGATGGACGTCTGAAGAACAAAAATAAATCATCACCTGAACAAATGCATTTTTAAGGGTTCTGTATTCATTATATATATATATATATATATATATATATATATATATATATATATATATACACACACACACACACACACACACACACACACACACACTACAGTTTAAAAGTTTGAGCCAACCCCTGGTAATTTTTAAAATTGCTCTAAAAAATAGTTGTTTTGTTCTTTAAATAAAAGAAAATTATTATACATGGTTAAAAAAAGTGAGACATAATTTTTTATTAAAAATTTTATTATGACAAAAAGAAAAAATAATTTTATGATTAAATTTTGTTCTCGTCAAAATATCCTCCTTTAGTCTTGATTACTTCAGCACAAATTTTTGGCATTTGTTGCAAAAGTTTCTCAAAGTATAAGTTTGATAATTGATCCCATTCTTTTTTGCAATGCCTCTAAGAGATCATTTTCATATTTTTTTTCATTCTTCTGTCACGTTCATCGCATGCTAATTCTGGGGGTGGCTTCAAACTTTTGAACTGCAGTGTCTATATTAAAGCGGAGCTTATATTTACTGGTCACTCTACTATAGCATATATTGGTTCTACAGAATACCAATTGTAGCAATATTCACAAAATATCCTTGAGCCTGAGCAAGTGCTGTAATAGCACTGTCCTTTCTAAAAAAAAAAAAAAGTATCAGGACTGGTGCTATAAGAGAAAACTAATTTCAATAGTCAACTTCTGAAGCAACACACTTTACCCAGTGTCATTTCCATTGATGGAAGTATTTTTTTGGATAGCTTCCTCGACACATTCTCTTGGATTTCTTCAACATCTTGAAATCTTGTTCCTTTTAAAATGGGATTTAATTTATGAAGAGGAAAAAGTCCCAATGGGCAAAATCTGGGAAATACAGTGGTTGTCAGACCTGGGGAATGTTGTCCTTAGCCAAAAACTGCTGCACAATGACAGAACATGGCCAATGACAGAACCTCTGTGATGTGACGACCACACTCTACACACTTTCCTTCCAAACACTGCTATAAACAATGGAAGTAAGTGAGGTTATAACTTAGCATGTACACTTGTCAGAATTAAAGATCAATCTGTGCCAACTGGCTTCAGATTTTGTACTTTAGCTCCGTTACCATAGCAAATAATATTTTTTAATCAGACCTTGGATATTTTGGAAGTGAAAGAAATGAAAAAAGTTGAGCCTAAATATAAAATGGAATATAATGATGGAAAGCAAAACAAAACTTTGCTGAATGCACAAAGACAAAGTGAAAAAAAAAAAGTTCAGAAACTCCACCCTGTTATTAAATACTTACAGATGCATATACACTAAAAATATTTATTGGACAACATACCACCAAGTTTGGGCATTTTGATATGGTGTAATCATTACCAAGCTTGCCTTGCTAAATCAATTATAAGTGAGTAGTGGGTTTGATCCTCACTGAGTGCTCCATACTTTCGGCCTTGTGCCACATCTAGGCTACGTTTAGAAAATCACCAGATATTAGAACATATATTTATGTCTCTAAAAAAATTAAAAAATTCCATCATATTTAAATGCTGAATTTTCAGACATTGTTAAAATGAAAATAAACATATTAACCTGACCTGAAAAGCCTTACTTCAGGGTGGAGAAAGGATAAGTATGATAGGTAATTGTAGATGTATTTCATTTTCTTAAAAGGGAGAACAGAGCCTTGCTGAACTGTGGCACTCTTTGTAGACAAGTGTTAAAGCACACTGCATCAAACAGGGGTTTATCTTACAAAGGGGGATTCAGGTTCAATTCCTGCTGGAGAAAACATCCTCTTTGTTAAGATTTCTCGACTGTACCAGCCGATAGGCATAATACTTACTGTTTAAAGTAAAAATAAAAATGGGGCAACTATTTCAAATATGAGTATCCAAAATAATAGCATTTCAAGTAGTGGATTAAAAATAAAAATTAATTATTTTATATATATATATATATATATATATATATATATATATAAATAAAAAAGAAAGAACAGTAAGATATATAATCTGGTGTTCTTATAGATATTTTCTTTTTTTAATGTATGTATTTACAGAGCATTAATATTATAAATTAATTGATTTAAAATATGGTTTTTTCGCTATATATAGTATAACCATGTTTTCAAAAAATTTTCAAAATTGAATTTGAATTCAAAAAATTTGAGGATGAAATGGAACTAATGTCTTTAATTTAATTAAAAAATTAAATTTGGAGCTTTTAGCTCACATTTTTGAAACATGGTTAGAACTTTGTAGTGAAAAAAAAACATATTTTAAATCAATTAATTTATAAATATATATATATATATATATTTGTTGGATAGATGTGAGTTTGTGACCCTGGGTTTTTCAAATTTAGCGATGAATCAGACAAACTGATTAATGTTTTTAAAATTTGGGTTTATGTAGATTTACGGTATTGGTGCTATTGTGGAAGTGGTGGGGGAAACTTCGTCGTTTTGTCATTCATCGTACTAATGCAAACATCGATGTATGCAGACACATATACATACTAGTAGGCAGTTTCGGCTATGACATATGTATGTATACGGGTGGTGTTATGTCTATACATATGCATTTGTATTTTGAAATGTTGAAATTTAAATTGAGCGCTTTCTAATAAGTACCATATATATAATATATAATTATACATATATATATTTATTTATATTTATATACACTTTTCATATATATATATATATATATATATATATATATATATATATATATATATATATATGTATGTATGTATGTATGTATGTATGTATATGTATGTGTGTGCACAAACACACATGTACAGGCTTACACAAACGCACACAAAGAAGAGAAAGAGAAAATCAACCTAATAACAAATAAAAAAGTACATAAATTATTCTTTTTAAAAAATAATAAAAAAAGAGAAAATCAGAAGACATTTGGTGAGATCTCCTGATGAGTGAATTGAACGATTACACAAGGGTTCATCTATGAAACTCTGGAGTCAGAGTGCTGAATATAAGCTACAGAAAAAAGTGATAAATTTTATATTTGTATTAATCCTATATATATATATATATATATATATATATATATATATATATATATACAATTTTTATATATATTACTTATATATTATATATATTATTACACAATTCCAACATTGAATACAGCGACCAATTGCGTATGTATGCACGCAATGACACATGGATGCGCATATACACCCAGTACCACACTGTCCATATATGTTTATGTTTGTGTGAGCTGCAATGCGTGAACGTGCATGTATGTGTGTCTGCGTATATATGAGTGGCATTCTGACGCCAATTTTTCCTCCCACTACCATAAAAAAAAACAATATACGCAATCATAAATAAATCTAAAATTTAAAAATTAATCAGTTTGTCTGACGATCACAAAGGTCGTGAAATCCAGAGTCACAAACTCGCATCAATCCAACTAAATATATATATATATATTATAAATTAATTGATTTAAAATATGTTTTTTTTTCGCTACACAGTTCTAACCATGTTTCAAAAATGGAAGCTAAAAGCCCTGAATTTTAAAAGTTACTCCAAAATTCGCTTGAGGATGAAATGGAACTAATGTCTTTAATTTAATTACAAAATTAAATTCGGGGCTTTTAGCTTCATTTTTGAAACATGGTTAGAACTGTGTAGCAAAAAAAAACATATTTTAAATCAAATTAATTTATAATTTTTAATGCTCTGTAAATTTACATTGAGCACTATTTTGTAAAAATAAAAATATCTATAAGAACACCGGATTATATATCTTACTATTCTTTCTTTTTATTTATATACATATATATATATATATATATATATATATATTGATGCATGTTTCATAAAATAATATAGACAAGTTTTGTCTATTTATTTTAAGTAAGTTCCTTTCATATTGTCTGATAAGCTTAATAAGATTATCATTGAAAGACGAGACATTTATTTAATGAAACATGCATCAATGAAAAATTGCTGCCTAAATATACACAATATGAGTGGACAATGATGTCAACACTGAGTGTCTTCAATGCATCTTGTGAGTATCAAAGTTCTCTTAAAAAAAATTTACATATTCAGTAAAAAAAAAATTTTTAAATTTAAAACATTCCCATCCCTATGAATACATATAAAAAAAATCTCATATTCAGTTAAACAAAAAGAGCATCCATGATAATGGCTAATTTGATTTTGAATCTCTTTTTACCTTCTATCAATATGGCTGATGCTAACCTCCAAAAGAGCAACTCATTACACGTTCTTGGTTTTCCACTGACATGAAGTGGAATGATTATATTGAATCAACTGTTAAGTCTGCTGCTAAGGAAGTAAATTCACTAATTTTTCTCACCAGAATATATTTTGCACATTTACAAGTTTATTATTCATCCATGTATCAAATATTGCTGCCACATCTGGTTTGGTGCTTCTGGTTTATATTTAGAGATTCTTGATAAAATCCAAAGATGAATCAGCAATGTTATCAATCCTCACCTGGCATCTCAGTTTCAATCATTTTCCCACTGCTGTAATGTAGCCTCTTCTTTAAACATTTTCATGATAATTGTTTTGATGGGCTTTACTCCTGGCCACCTCAACTTCACAAATTTAAGCATCATACTACATTGGCAGATAGGTCCCATAATTTCACTGTTGAAATTGCTACTTGTAACCAAGGCCAAACTGCACCAGTCAAGGAGCTGATTGGGGGTCCTGAGCAGTGCTTTGTGACCTCACTATCTTATCAACATTTGCTTTTTTACTACCTATGTTTTTTATATACATTACAAATTAAACTAAACTTAACCGACTCTTGAAGGATGAAAAATTTTTGCAGATTTTGATGTCATTTTGGTTTTTTGGGGGGTTTTTTTTCATGCAAAGTCTTGAAAAAACACTATATAAAATTCACTATTTTTTATCCATAATGACGAGTGGATTGAACGATTACACAAGAATGTTTGGTTTGTTTTGTTTTACAGCATACAACACCAATGGGTTATTTAATGCAAACAACTTTTTTTTCCTGGTAATGTTTTGTTTTGTCAAAAATCTATTTCTGGTAATATTTTTGTCCTAAAAAATGTCTAGCTAGCAATATTATTTCAAAAAATGTATTGCTGGTCATATTTGTTTTTAAAAAATATATTACTGGTAATAGTTTTTTTTTTCCCTTGAAAAATTGATTTCTGGTAATGATTTTTTACAAAGTATTTCTGGTATTAAAACCTATTTTTACACTTTCATAATGTCTTTTACCTCAGTTTTGGGGTTAACTATTTGCCCATAGCTGGGACCCTAATAGGTGCTACCACCCCGGGTCAGGGTGGACCTAGGAACACCAGCAGTTAAGAGCAATTTCTCCTCAAAACCTCCTGATCAGAGGCCTTGCTGTTGGACATAGTTTATCGTCTTACCCAGGACACGGATGTAGCTTATCGTCATACCCAGGACAGATAATGTTGAATGTGTTAAAATTCTTCAACTTTTTAACAAGAAAAATCTCAAGTTAATGGTAAAACATTGCTGATTTATTTAAGATGGAATGATCTATTATGACATTTGTTTAAGATGGAATGATCTATTATGACATTTAAGATGGAATGATCTATTATGACATTTAATATGGAATGATCTATTATAACATTTATTCAAGATGGAATGATCTATTATGACATTAATTTTAGATGAAATGATCTATTATGACATTTATTTAAAATGGACTGACCAAATATGACGTCTCTAATTTCTATTTAGGTACATTTTATTTATTTTCAATTTTTCTCGTTGAATTGTTCACCTATATTGCATATCATCTGTCATTGTACATAATTCTTTTTATGTGTCATGTCCATTCAGGATGTACATGGTCATGGCTCTCCACTTCCTCCATCCCTTGTAGTTATCAATAAGTTTTGTCCCTCTGCTACCTCCCCCAGACCACGTTCTGTCATCCACTCACTTAATCCTGCCAAGTATGTCATGCGTTGCTTTCCCTTCTCTCACTTTCCCTCTATTTGACCTGTGAGTATCAGATTCTCCAGGCCCTCCTTCCTCATTATGTGTCCCAGATACTTCAGCTGCCTCTTCCTGATATTAAGTATAAGCCTCCTCTTTGTTTGCATCCTCTCTAAGACCTCATCGTTGCTCACACGCTCGGTCATCCACTTGCTCAAGCCCATTAGGTATGTCATATGGTGTTTTTCTTTGTCTCTCTTTCCTTCTATTCGACCCATGAGTATCAGATTCTCCAGGACCTCCTTCCTCATTATGTGTCCCAGAAATTTCAGCTGCCTCTTCCTGATGTTAAGTATAAGCTTCCTCCTTCTTTGCATCCTTTCTAAGACCTCATCATTGCTCACACTCAGTCCATGATATCCATAGCATCCTTTTGTGAAACTATATCTCCACTACCTCTTCTTCATCTTTGAGGAGACTGCCATATAGGAAGACAGATGTCACGTAACAGTTCAGTTCTCTTTTCTTTGGTACCAAAGAAATTCTCCTGTCTCATCGTACTCTGTCCAGCTTTTGAAAAGCATCCTTGGCCATTCCAATATGTCTTCGGATCTCAGCGTTGCACTTACTGTCCTCCATTAAAACACTTCCTAGATATTTAAACTTACACAGCTGCTTGATTTAAGTGTCCCCGA